TTTTTTTTTTTTTAGGAAAGCATTCAGAAAAACTCTTACCTCGTGGCAATTCTCTGAAGATTTCTTTCTCTCTCTCTGTCTTTGACAACATCTGGCTTCACTCGGCACATCATTTCCCACTCCCGCTTTTTATCGAGCTGCGTTATAAATAATTTTATGTGAAACAACACCGAGCACTTGAGAACAAGCAACATACTCTGACAGACTGTGCAACAAGAGGGAAACAAAAGATAAACCAACACAGCTCGGTTTGGTTGGGGCTATGGGGAGCTTCAACATGGGGCTGGACAACAGGTCCGAGGCAAGTGTCCTGCAGACACATCAGGGGCCACAGTCAAATCTCAGAGTCACTTGCCTTCCACAACAAAAACTAGACGAGTCACCCCAGAGTGAGGCCTCTGGCTTGAGACAAGCAAAAGGAGTCTAGGAATCCTAAAGTCAAATGCTGGACTTGTGTAAAGTGTTCAACACTGTCTTACACCAACACCCTGGTCCCTAAATCAGAGAGACATGGATTTGATGGATGGACCACTCAGTGGAGAAGGAACTGGTTGGATGGCTGCACTCAAATGACCTGCAGTCAACAGCTCAATGTTCAGGTGGAGACCAGTGATAAGTGGCGCTCCTCTGGGACTGGTACTGGGGGCACTGCTGTTTAACATCTTGTCACTGACAGTGGGATTGAGGGCACCCTCAGCAACTGTGCAGATGGCACGCTGGAGGGCAGGGATGACATCTTACAGGGACCCCAACAGACTGAAGAGGTGGGCCCATGCCACCCTCATGAAGTTTAACAAGACCAAATGCAAGGTCCTGCACCTGGGCTGGGACAATCCCAAGCACAAATACAGGCTGGGCAGAGTATGGACTCAGAACAGTCCTGAGGAGAAAGACTTGGGGGTGCTGGTTGATGAAAAGCTCAACATGAACCAACAATGTACAAACGCAGCCCAGGAAGCCAACCATATCCTGGGCTGCATCAAGAGAAGTGTGCCCAGCAGGCAGAGGAAGGTGAATCTGCCCCTCTACTCTGCTCTCATGAGGACCCACCTGGAGTACGGCCCCCAGCTCTGGAGCCCCCAGTACAGTGGCTCCAGAAAAGAACCACAGATGATCTGAGGGCTGGAGCAGCTCTCCCATGAGGACAGGCTGAGAGAGTTGGAGTTGTCCAGCCTTGAGAAGAGAAGGCTCCAGGGAGATCTTATTGAGCCCTGCCAGTATCTGAAGGGGGCCTACAAGAAAGCTGGGGAAGGACTTTTTACAAGGGCTTTTATTGACAGGACAAGGCATAATGTGTTCAGACTGAAAGAGCGTAGATTTAGATTAGAAGTCAGGAAGAAGTTCTTCACTGTGAGGGTGGTGAGACACTGGAACGGGCTGCCCACAGAAGCTGGGGATACTCCATCACTGGAGGTGTTCAAGCCCAGGCTGGATGGGGCTTTGAGCAACCTCAGCTAGGAGGAAGTGTGCCTGTCCATGGCAGGGGGGTTGGAACTAAATTATCTTAAGGTCCCTTCCAAGCCAAACCATTTTATGATTCTGCTATTCTACGACACCAACTGCTATGAACAAGGAAATCATTCAAAGACAGCTTTCAACTCCAAACCTCCACAAGCTGATCACAGAGAAATTTTTACATCATAAAATCCTGGGTCTATCAAGAGAAGTATGTTGCATTTTGAGCCTTGGGAATTTGACTTCCCCCACTGAATTAATCACAGTACAGCTTTGTGACCAACACCAAAGTATGGCAAAGTCTGTAACAAGCAGAATTCAAACACCAAGAAGAGCACCAAGTGCCCTCTGGAGAACAACTTGTGTGCAAAACACTAATTTCTGTCTTTTTTTTTAGGCTCTCTGTTTCAAAAACAAACTGATCTGTTCTCCCATTACCAGGGGCCACAACATCACTAACTCTTTTTCTGCTGCAATGGGAGAACACTATTTCCACAGCCTCTGCTTCAGGAGTAAGGCAGTAAAATAATTTTTTCCCCTCTTTTAATAACATAACAGCGTTCTAGGTCTGCTGATGTTGCAATAAGTCTGCTTTATGCAAGAAGTCTTTCATGAAATTTCAGAGTGCTTGTCTTTGTAATTCCAGGTAGACTACTACAAATTTGAGAGTTCATGACGATGTTTTAGCCTTTTAGCAGAAGAACTTCCCTATTCTAGCTTCCATCAGCTAGAAAGTAACAGAAGGCAGACTGTTCTCAAGTTTTTCTAAGGGTAAACAAGTCCGTCTGGGGACCTGCAGCCCACCTCTGCTTTGCAATACTGCCACATATTTACTGGGCAAGCACAGGTATTTAGGACAGCCATAACTGAGCAGAAGCTGTACTGAAGCTGTCTGTATTTAGAAGGCAGGCTGTGACTTAACCACAGCATGTCCCAAGCTGTCAGGTAGGTAACCTGGTTATTGCATTGAAACAGAACTGGAAAGGTAAGACATCAGAATTATTAATGTCTTTTTAGCCTTAAGGTAAATCAATCACAGCCTGGAATTAAAAGTTCCACTAAAGACACACAAACAAATTACTTAATTGCCAACATAGTTTTTGCTGTCTTCATAACAGTTTCAGAACCAGAAGCAATTTAGGGCATGGATACCATAATAGAAAACTTCAACCAGGAAAATCACTGAGGGGAGCAAACAATGATTCACAACCACATCAATGATTACTGCAATCTCAGCCTAAAAGCCTTTGATTTTGGGAGTTGCAGAAGAATTTAAATGAAAGCAGACATCTCTTTCTCCCTCTCGCTTTCAACAAGAGAGAACTATTTCAACTTGTAATGCCAACCAAGTGAATTATACCCCAAATTAACAACAGCAATTAGAAAACTAAACTTAAAAGCAGCTGCTTTCACTCTCTCAACAACAAAACCACCTTAAGCAGACAGAATGGAACAGCCCAGCTGCCAAAGATTGGCCTGCCCGACGGCCCAGAAAAAGCAGTGAGGGGAAAAAGACCTACAGCGTGGTTGTCTGGAAAGTAGGGGGGGAAAAAAAAAGCTACTTGACATCACTGCAGAGGGGAGATTCCAAAACTGAGACAGTCTCCGAGCACTCTCCCAGATCCCTGCTGAGGGGATCTTTCCTGTATCCCCGTCTGTGATGACACAACACAAAACTGCATCTCCTCCTCACCTTTATTCTCTTCTCCAGCCTTTCTTGTTTTTCCTTTTCTCTTTCCTTGTCCAGTTTTTTATTCTTGGCCAAAATGGTGGACCTATTTTGTGGAATCTTTTTGTTGAGCACTTTTGCCATGGCATCTGCCCAGCCTGCACTTGGGCCAGATTTGGAGTTTGTTGCCTCTTCACCCACATTGCTAGGGGCTGCGGTTTCATCTTCATCATCACCATCCAGCGCTTCACCTCCGGAGGAGTAGCTGTCTTCTGGAAGTTCTGAGCTTAACTCAGAATCTACAGGTAAAAAAAAGGAACAACAAAAATAAAAGTATTAGGAGTTGTGCTTCTAGTAAGGATCCATTACTAGCTTAGTTTGCTCCATGTGTAAATGTTACCAAAATTCAGGGCCGTGTGCTGCTTGCTGTTACAACTAATTCCTCAAGCACACATACACCACAATAAGTTTATTAGGAAGTATCCAGTGCAAGTGCTTGCTCACTTCAGTGATCACAAAGTTATTTAAGAGGTTGGAGAAAAGGGAAAGGGCAGCCTTGGAAATCTATTCCTAGGTTAATATGTACTTTGATGTTTAGGAGTGGCTAATTTGGGAAAAAAGTATTTTCCAGTTCTAAATAATAATTTATAAATGCATATCCATATATATGTATGGACATACGTATGGATGTATGGACATACCTCTATACAAAATGCAACAGTGACATCTAGTGCTTAAATGCAGCCACATGGATTAAATGGAAGGTATTGGGGCATGTCTTACAAAATTTCTTACAAAATCTGCTCAAGGAAAATAATGCTAGGAAAAATGTCATGACCTAAGCATAATGAACACAGAGGGGAAACTGCTTTCTGAAATAAAGAATCAAGGCAGTTATCAGATAGCCCAAAAGAATCCAGTGGCACCAAGCTTTTCTGGTAGAAGTATCGGCTCAAATTCTTGATGTACATATAAAACACTTCCAAATTCAAGTTTCCTTACCCTGTGTCCTCTTCAAATCAGAAAAGAAGGATTTAAAGTTAAAATACTGAAGTCTGGAACCAAGCAACAACAAAACAGAATGGCCAACTAGATAGCAAGTCAAATACATGAGGAATCTACCACTTCCTTCATTAGTCTGTTCAGTGGGTCAAATAGCAAAAATAAAGTCTTTAGCAGCGTGGATTATTAACTAGAATGAAATGGGCTGCAAGTTTAGCATGTGCTAAAATGCATTTTGTTTTCTCAGTGAGCCCAGTTTATCACATAATGAAGAGCAGAGCACACAAGTCTCCTGCCTCTATTAACTACTATTCCACTAATATTGGTATCACACAAAAGCTGTAAATTAAGTATGTTATATATGACAACTTTCAAGGTCGCCAATTGAGTGCAGGACAGGAGGCTGGTTTCTGACCCCTGCACAGTCCCACCAGCAACGGGAAAACTCCCTACCAATGCTGAAACATCAGCTGACTGGCTCACCTACCACTCTCACACGACTTTAAAGAGAGTATTCTAAAAACACCATGTGAAGTACTACGGAGCCAAGTGCTTTACTTTGCAAGTACTACTATACCGTATGAACTAACTTTATCCACCAAAACATTCAAAGAACAAAGTCAGGACTGACACGCAAGATGTTTTCTGTAAAAGCATGCAGAAAGTTATTACTAATATTCCTTATTAATCAATTGCCTAATTAATTACTTAACAGATTCTGTTGCCATACTAACTCCTTACTGTGCCTTCATGTGCCTTTTTGAATAAGGAACAAATCCCAACACAGCAGCACAACAGTGCAGTTAACCACTTCGAAACAAAGCCTCTAACTCCCAGCCATGTTTAGAGGCCCAGAGAGTATTTAGTTATCATCAGGGATAGAAGCAAGATTACTATGTTTACAACACAAACTTGAAAGAGTAATACTGAAAAACTGTTCATTATCTTTATCTGTATGATTTTTACTACCATCACAGTGAAGTCTTGTGTCATGCTCCAGGCACAATAAATTATGGGAGTTTTAAGCCAGTCCTTACTATAAATTGGAAATTTAAAAGTGTCACTCAGAAAAAACTAAAGGCATCCTTTTTATGAAACAGCATGTCTCCATATCCTGATTTCCAAACTGGGAAAAAGAAAAAAAATTCAAACTACTGTATGTAAAGAATTAACTGCATTATCATATTATGGTTCCTGCTGTCAAGTTTTCACCCCTAAGCCTTATCCAGGCTAGAATATTGCTTTAAACAAGGAACTAACACATACTCGCAACTTTTTACAGCTACTAAAAGCCCCAACCTGAATTCCACACACTGCTTAGGACCAAATTCTACTGTTAGCCATAAAAATAAGATAGCTTATGAAAAAGAAATTTTTCCTTTCCAGCGCATTTTCTGTCTATAGAATAGGAGAATAAGGCAGAATAACATCATTAGTATTTTGCTTTCAACAATTACCAAAAGATGAACACAGCTTCAATAACCAGCAATGACTTGATTCTTTAACAAAACAGAGTCTTTCTACCACACTATGAGATAAAGTAGAGGTGTTTCAAAGTAATTTAAATTAGTTAACTCTATCAAAAGTATGACCTGGGGCTCTATTCTGAATTGCAAAGATTGAAGCCTAGCATAGGTTTAATATAAAAAAACCTAATTGTATGAGTGAAATACATATACATATCTCCATACTTTATTCTTTTAAACTTGCTCAGTGATCTAGGTGTAGACACACAGTTGAAAACAGGAACCATTCAGAAATGAGTTCTGAAATAGTTCCCACACAAGGCTTCCTCTCGGGTTCAGTTGACCCTCAAACCAAACAGAACCACTGTGAATTATGGCTCCAAAAGGCCACAATCCTGAATCCTCCCAGACTAGAGGGAAGGAAAACAAAAAAAAATAAATCCAGTTACATGATATAATTAAGAAGCGATCACAACTAGTTATGTATACACTCACAATACACAAAGAGGCAAGAATGAGTGGGGAATCATATGTAAACGACGGAGTACGAGCGTGTTTACACTCTCTCCTCTCCTGGCAGATTACTGTAACTGGTCCATTTCGTGCGTTTCCTTCGGAGCAGGAAGCAGAGCCCTGCTGTGTACAGACAAGCACAGGCAGCAAGGAACACCGTAGTACCCGCACGGCTCTGCCTCATTGCTGACCACAACCGCCCACAGCCCCCCGCCCCGAGAAAGGGATACCCTGCGGACAAAGCTATTTTCGTGGACGCAGGGCGTAAATAAACTGCTGCCGGTGACTCCTCGGACTAATCAAATCCCCAACCCGACAGGGCAGGGAGCAGGTACAACGCCAGGGCCCGACGCAAAGCCACCCACCCCCCACGGAGCCCCGCAGCCTCCACCGCACCGGGCAGGGGCTTCAGCAGGCGG